GGGAGCCGGACAAGAGAGAGAGGCAAGAACAGCTAGAGGGAAGAGGAAGTTCAGGAGCAGACAGACGACAGACCCAGAGAGGACGTGGACATGGCTGCCAGGAAAGGAGAAACAGAGGGTGGAGGGAAGAGAGGCAGAGTGGTTAGAGAAGAAAAAAAGAGGAGCAGAGCATCTGAGATATAAGAAAAACAGCCTGGTAGTCAGATGTGGTGTAATGGGGCCAGACAGGAACCACTACTGCATATGCTCTAACACACACCTTATTAATGCAGGCTTCATATACACACTTTAACATGCGCATGAAAACACACAAGAGTGCAGAGGTCACTGTGATTCCCGCCCCTCTTGTTCATCAATAGTGAGGGCCCACAGAGTCTTTAGGTGAAGGTCAGGGCATGTTCATGTGCATACTAGCCACAGGCTGGAACACACAGTGTGTGCATGAATGTGCATGAGTCAGATGGTAGTTTACTGTAGGTTGTGTGTTTACAGTAAGTATACGTTTCTCATTCATTATGTTATCTTACCATGATCTGCATGTCACTTTGGCCTGTGGTTTATGTATGTAAACTGTGTATCCAACGTACATGCAGTAAGCACAAGTATTTATTAAAGTAGATTCTCATACAAGGTTCAGACCAGAGTACGCATTTAACAATTTAAACATTTAATTAGTGGTTTATAACACACTATAATGTAGGTTACAGAGATATATTTTCATTGTAGAGTATTTATCAATAGTTGTAACATAAAAACATTTTATATTATTATGACTGTGTTTTACTATATTGTCATTACTTATCTGTTTATACACCAACCCACAGGAGGAATTTCAGTTTATAGTACATTCATAAATTCTTATCTGTTTACAATGTTAAATAATATTTCTGAGCATGAAATTTGACTTTACCTCTCATGTTGGTAATGTAGCAAGCCCATGGACCATGAAGCAATACTGCACTTCTAAAGATGATAATTTAATGGAGAAAGTGGAGATAATTTCCTGTCCTCCCACCTATTTTCAGCTCTGGGCTTTTCAGCTTCTTACTCGAATGAACATAAACATAGAGTGTAGGCTTTTACATTTCCTTTCGTATGAAGGTCAAGTAAGATGGTATAGTGTCTGTTTTATTCCATAGTAGTAGACTTGAGTGCAGATGAGCAGATGATTATAGCATGCAAAATGACAGAGTGAAGAAGTGTGTAGGACTTCCTTGCTCAGTATACGCCTGATTTGTATCCTCTCTAAAGGGATGACCATTTTCATTACATCTTAAAATCAGATTTGATCACATTATTTTCCTATAAAGTCCACACAGCCTTGCTCCACTGTACAGTACCTCTCTAACCTGCTTCTCCAATATTATACTTTTTGGTCATCTTGTTCAAACTAACTCATTGTTTCAAGGGTTAAAGCTAAAGTTGATGATGTGAACTTTGGATTTTAATGCTCCTAGTCCCTGGAACATGCAGTGCTATTTCATTCTTTCTGATCGCCAGAGACAGTATGTAGTACCTGGATATGCATCAAAGTCTTTCTCTGTGCATCTTTCATTGTGTTTGATACAAGCCAACTTTGTGTATATTAATGTGTGTATCATCACTGACCCATAGGCGGCTCATTGTGGCCCAGCACTCGGTGGCTGTAATGGTGTTTGAGCAGCACTCCAAGCATCTCCGGGCTTATCTCCGCCTCCCTCCGCAGAGACACATTAGGGGCCACCATCTTATCGTAGGTGTACAGGTAGTAACTGAGAGGGAGAGAGAGAGATAAAAAAAATAAATAAATAAAAAGAAGACATTTAAACACTGAGCTGACCTCAAATGTTGATCAATCCTTATTAATGTTAACCCTGAAACAAAAATACTGAATTTTATAGTGCAATGAAATTCAATTCCTAGTTCTCCTCAAAGACACACGGGTGGGTTATGCTGCTAATTATGTGCTCGACATACTGAATCACGCAACAGTTTATTCTAAGCCCTTTACATAGTTGAATCCGAGTGATAAAACAAAAGTCATCTGGTGACTGTTTAACTGAAACTAACAGCACCATTTGAGCTGAAAACTCAGTGTGGAATATGGATACTTCTTATCATGTGTTTACAGAATCTCTGCAGAACCAGACCCTCGGCTTATCACACATGTCCAGGTAGTGGGTACAACTGAGAGAGAGATGCACTGAAGCCACTGAGCCAACACTATTTGTCTATTCTTGGCTGCATGGAGGGAAGGGAGGGAGGAGAGAGAGAAAGAGACCAACAGATCGAGAAGCAGATGGAGTAGAAGTTAGAGAAGAGACGCTTTGAGCCCCTCCCCCACCAGCAGTGCCCCCCAGACTGAGCTGAGGCTGGAGCTGAACTAGGTTAAGCATGACAGCTCAGAGAGGCTCTGCCCAAAAAAACTACAGCAATACCAACCAAGCCTTGCTGCCTCTCCTCTGGTTAGAAATGAGCCACTGCCTGCTCGCCTTCCAGGGACCTCAAACTCCTTCACATCAAACAGTGTACTAATAATGGATGTTGGCAGTAACCCAAGTGCTGTGGACGTCTAGCACGACGTTTGGCTGTAGCAGAGCATTTCATTATTACTATGGCTGCAGTGCAAAAGACATGCTCCAAATTTGTCTGTGCAAGTCCCAACTGGTTTTGGAGTGTAGCAGTAATGTGACGCTGGCAGGTGACCAGAAGTCTAATCCTGCCAATTTGTTTGTCTTGACGTCTGCGAGCCTCCACACAGACAGCATGTGACGGCAGTCACGTGCAGCTGTGGTGCTGTAAACCATCTAATTCCAGGATTTAATCTGGTTCAGATTATTGTGTGAGCTATCAGAGTGCCATATCCAAACACAGGCTGGTATGCTCTGCGGAGCAATGGAAGGAGCAAGAGAGCAACAAAAGAGAGGGTTTTTGGAAGAAAATTGGGAGGGGGGGATGAAGAACAGAGGACAAAGAGGGGACCCAACAGTACACTACTGGCAAATTGGGGATGGAAAGTTCATTTACTGAGAAAGAAACTGAAGTCAAATTGAAACTATTTTTGGTCATTTTTGTACTAAAACAGAAGGACAAAGCACATACACAAAGTCTACACCCACACCCGCCAAAAGAAGAACTTAAACAGTTAGTGCTTTTAATGTTCTCTAGTAAAACAAATCAATGTAAACTTGAATAATTTTGTACAAACCTAAACAAATTAGAAGCAAAAAGTCTGTTTAAAAAAAAATCTTGTTCCTAGAACAAATGAGTCAAATTCAGAGTTCTTTTCCAGGAACACACAATGCAAATGTATCTAAATCTAAAAAAACAAAAACAACTAGAGGTATAATGATTAGTCAATTAATCAACTGACATTAATCAACAACCATTTTAATAATCAACTCACTGGCTCATTTGCTTTTCCAAACAAAACTGCCAGACATTTGCTAGTTTCATAAAATGACAAATAAAAATAATTGTTAGCTGCAACCCAAAACTGGTGTGTTAGTGCTGTTTAATCAAGATGAATAAGGTGTAGTACCTGGGATGGACCAGGGTGGGATGTCCTGGCTCCTCCTTGATGTCAGAGAAAAGTGGGTTGAACATCAGAGTTGGTGGAGAGGTTTTCCCCTGTGGGAAAACAAAATCCACACACATAAATATGACACACCACAGCATCACCTCTGTAGCTGTTTTGTTAGAGCCACAGAGGCAGTGAATGACAGCTTCTCTAGGTGCATTTATTGATCTTTGCATATAATTTTGCTGCTGAATAGGTGAGTTATCACAGTGACAATGACATGCATGCCCACCCGCACACACACAGAAAGAAGCAGCAGGAGGAAAAGGCAACATGCTATGCTGCACATAGCACTCCTGGAGCCATAATCTAATGAAGCTAATATGCATGCATACACATGAATGAGAGATCATCCATCATGCATCAGCTGAGAGAGGTGTGTGTGTGTGTGTGCACATGTTGGAGAAAAAAAAAAGAATCATGATAAAAGAGCTGCTCCCCTGTGCGTACATGTAAAGGTGCAGCAATACGGAGAGCAGAGCTTCTCAGCAGCTATATTGTGTATTTCTTAACAGGTCAGAAAGGAGACACAAGCTGCTATGAATGGGTGAAAAGAGTCTGTGTGAGTGTGACCCTGAGAGCTGACCTATGTGCAGAGGAGGGGGATGAGAGGAGGGAAATGCTGGATTGGTAGGAAGAAATGGAGAGAAGGTGGATGGATGTGGCGAGGGAACCGACAACTGACCTTTCTTGCAGGGTCGGCATCAGCCATCTTGCTACTGGATGAGCAGAGGTCTGCAGAGGTCTGTCTTGGCTGGCTCTCCTCCTCTTCCACTGCCTTCTGAAACACATGGAAAAAAAGCAGTGGTTGAATAGACTGGCAAACACACAGCAAGGTTAAACAAACAGAGAGAGACAAAGCCCCCAGGGTGTGCGAACACATCTGTTTGAATATTCTGAACAATTAAAATGATGCACACTACTGTCAATGAGCATCGGAATGACAGGGAGAAAGTGAGGTGAAAAAAATGACACCTAGCACTGTGGTCAACAGAGGGGGAAGATAGAGATAAATGACTTTTAAACAATATGAAATAGAGACAAATGACATCCAAGAAATAGATCATGGAGACAAATGGCATCAAAAGTGAAAAGCACGGGTGAGCTATGGCCTGAGCAGACTCTGATACGGTGTCAGAGAAAACCAAGATGGCAAAAAAAAATGGATAAGCTAAAAGCAGAGGCTGAACGAGCCCGCTGAGGAAGAGCTATGAACAAAACACAAGAAACGCCACACTGATAGTCAACATGGCAACAACATGTCTTGTCATTATCTGCTTTTCAATGTGATTCATTGGTAAATCCAGGAAACGCTCGGCGAGAGTCCACAGGCTGATGGAGCGGATGCTTATCTGCGGCAGACAGGCCTGACACTACACACTGACTGCCTGCAGCTCACACGACAGACACTGGAGGAACAAGCGTAGCAGTATGACCTGCTAGGCAGAGGAAGACGGGGGACAGAAGAAGAGAGAGAATCCAGTGAGGAGAAAGGTGCAAAGACAGAGCAGAAGGAAGAGAGAAAGAGAGAGAATGGTTGCTGAAAGCATCAATAATTGACTTAGTAGCCTTTTAAAGCCATCTACAACCGCTTATCCACAGAATGCACACATGCACGGGAGGACAGAGTGAATAAGAAACATACCAGCCTTTCATCAGCTGGACTAAAGGATTTACTCTGCACTAAACAGGCTAAGAGACACTGTCATTACCAGAGCCTCAGAATAAAACATCCAAATTACAGTGAGAGGTAGGTATTACCCTTACATTCATAAAAACCACTAATCCAGTAGCAGCTTTACATTAACACAATTCACCTGTTAAACATTTCACACACAAATTCACTCATAAGATTTCTACTCTTTTAAAGCAGTAGTTCAACATTTTGAGAAAGTATTTGCTGGTTCCAGATGCGAGGATTCTAAAATACAAGTATTTGTAGCCTTTCTCTGTTTTATATCATTCACCTTGGTCTATTGTATTTACTATTTTATGACATTTGAAGACAGTGAACAACAAACAAATAATACGGAAATGTTAGTTGCAGCTCTACTATCGTTTTCCTGTGCACCTGCCTCTAAAATAACAAATTCTTGTTCTTACTTTTCTTATGTCAGGGTTAAATAAGTACATGGTCTGTAACTATTAACTATGTACAGCACCAGACTAGCTCGTCTCCAATATGTGAATGTTACTGATCTTATCACTGCTGGGAATAAAGAAAATAAACAAACTAAACAACTGTCTAACAATATTACTGCAGGTCTGCATCTACCCCTATTTAACTAACTCTTCCTGTTATGTCACAAAGAAGGACCCAAACCACTACCAGTACTGATTTGTATATGTGTGAATTGTCCTGTGTGTACGGGGCAGTCCCTTATTTACAGGAGCATGGATGAATGAACATGCAAATGTAAAAACCAGAGCCATATGTACAGCCTATACAGAAGGGAGCTTGTCCATTTATGAGCACTTGTGGTTAGTGTCATTTCCTTTTATTCCAGAAGGCAGCACTGCAGCATTGGTAGGGGTGGGGGTTGGCCTGAAGGAGGGAGTAGTGAGAGAGAGGCGGCGAGAGAAAGACTGACAGAGAGAGACAGTCGGATGATGTCACAGGAGGAGAAAGACTGGAGAATTAACAGAACCAACAGTAACCCCACTGCAGTGGTGTGCAGACAAGCTGGGACCTCGCTGGATCCATTCCCCCCTAGAATCAAAGTTGTCTATATTTGCAGGTTTCTATAAATGTGTGTGTTTGAGGCACTCACTACGACATTCCCCTAATCACATTCCCCTGTCACTCCTCATTCAGACGTAAGCGTGTGAGAAACGTACAGAGAGTGAGCACTATGATGTAAGGAATCTGAAACTGAACCCGAAACCATGATATAAATGTCCACTGTCTTTGCAGATGGAACCGAACTGTTACACACCTAGTGGGCACAGGGTCAAACAAGCATTAAGTGCAGGTCATCCTGAAGTCTTTCATCTACCTGACCCCAACACCAGCAGACACTCATTAAAAGGCTGGGCTCTATGTGAGCCTGAGAAACACTAGGAATGTGAGATGGCTGCAGGTGTACTATATGTGCATGTTTGTCCTCAAATAGACCCTACAAACATATGCCTATGTCACTCCCTGAGATTACTGCTCACCTGACAGTTGACAGTTTAACGCCCACCGCCCACCCACACCCCATGCTCATTACTCCTGCTGCTCTACACTCTCTGCTTCTTAATGAATGGGTGCAAACGTTGGCACATTTCAACGCAGCTGTTTTGCCTTCCAAACCCCCACTTTGCTTTACTAACACACACCGTGCTGATATGTGGTTAATCTACATTAATGAAGCGCCTCTCTTATTTGGCTTGCTTCTATGACACACACACACAAACCCCCCCCAAGTCGCCAGCCCTTTGTCAAGCTGAACCTCGTCTTATTACAATGTGGATTAGCATACCACACAATGGCTCTAGTGAACTCTGCCCTGCTGTTCCTAATCACCAGTGGTCTGCCTGCCATTGAAACACACTGCAGCTACATGATGCATACTGTTTTCAACACACATGGCTATGCAACTTTTACAGTGCCTAGGTCCACAGCCTCAGTTTAGTCGCACTAATGGAAGTGCATTTTGTGTCTATGTGTAGCCTACGTGCTGTTTAATCCAAGCATGACTGTACTACACAGACATCCATGACTGTACACCACCACACAGAGCAGGTGGAGCATAAATGCAATTTAGAGGCTTCTATGGCATTTTCTACTATTTCCCACTGCAAGAGCTAATACTCAATTTCCACCCGGAACACTTGTTGCCACAACTGTCCTTTTTGCTGGAAATGTACATCGAAGGAGAATTTGAAATGGAGACTGCCATGCTTGTGTTATCTTGCATGAACAGTGATCTAAAAAAGAAGTCTCATTTTGAGCATGTGCACTTTGCAATTACTTTTTATTTTACGCTAGAAGTGAAATTCTGCTCTGAGGCATTAGATTGAATAATTAGCTGTGCTACCAAAAGCACCACCATATCATTCATGAAGAGCTGATTTCTGATTGGGGTGAAGGCTTTCAGTTACACTTTGAGCTAAAGGGAGACACACAGACTCTGCCACGCAACAAGCAAACAAGTCCGAGGTCAAGCTCTTCACTATAGTCACGTGCACCCTCCAGATGACTGCGATCTCAGTGCATACTACATTCACAAAGTTATGTGTGACTATAAATACACAGTCCATCTCCATACACGTGTACATAGAGTACATACATGAGTAAGACTTGTCTCCCTGACACACACTAAAGTGATGCATTTTCCACGCAGCAAAGATGAATGTCACTTTTGGCTTTTTCCCGTTAGGGGTCGCCACAGCGAAAATGCAGCATGCAGCAAAAAAATCTGGGCGCAAAAAGAAGAGAGAGACATCTGTGAACAGAACATTAAATCGCAAACTGAATGTGAAATAATTTACAAATTGGTAAGTGTTGCTTCATTTGAATGAAGCTGAAAAGATTTTAGAGAACAATACAAGTAGAGTTTAGTCAGTTAGTTGATCGACAGAAAATCTAGCAACGACTGAGTCACTTTTCCAGCAAAAAAACCCAACTTCATTTTTTTGCACCACCTTCTTAAATGTGAATATTGTCTGGTTTTCTCTATTTTACACACACCACTGGGTTCTGGGCTGCTGATCAAACATTTGAAGACTGCCTTGGACTTTTTTTCCCCACTATCTTCTATTTTATAGACAAAGCTATTAAACAATAACAATATGCTGCTGAAATAGTAATTCTGTAAAAACCCTGGACAGACTAGAAAACACACTCACAGACACAAACACAACTAATCTCAACGAGTCTAATGGTAAATCTTATCTAGGACACAATAAAGAGTGTGCAAAGGCTTAGTCTGACCTTTCATTCGAGAGCAGCAGGTCTGTGTGTGTTATTACAATCTTTTTTAATATCCCTTCTGTGCCCTAAAACATAAACACTGTTGGCCCAGTTGTCTTGACATCTGTTGAAACATCAGTGGCTGTCTATGAAAACTGAAACAAACCTCAAGTGAGAAACAGAGGAGTAAACAAAACACAACTGCGCAACCCATCCTCCTGCTTCCTCCTCCTCCTCCTCCCCCGTTTGGCCATTCATGTGCCTGGCATTCAAAATGAGGGAAAGATTTTTTATAGCAGTAGAGGACATGGTAATGCTGCTCATTCTCCTTTTTCCTTTCTCAGAAGGAAGTAAACAGCCTTTATTTGGGTGCCTTTTCATTCTGCCTCAGACAGAGAGGGAGGAAAGGAGGAACACACACACACACACTCACAGACAGTCAGTCACACCCTGTCTGTTTCTAAACCACATCCTGTTCTGCTGAAGTCGTAAACCGTGTCAAAGATCAAGCTATGGATACACAGATATACTTCCTGGCTGAACCATGCTATGAGACACTGAAGCTTCTTGTCTGCCTGCTTGTGCGTCGTACAACTTTTCTCTTTAAACTCGTCATTTTTTTTTACTCAAAGTTCCCCCAGATGTTATGTAGCGTAGCCTTTTGCTTGCTGTGACGTTCTGACATATAAACCTTGGGATCTTGTTTTACTGGGGCCCTGTGCTCTGGTGGTTTCACCTAACCCCCCTCCACACACACATACAGACTCTAGAGGCCTTTATATGGAGGTCTTAATCCAATAAGCCATTTATCCAAGGACTGGGAGACACACTTCATTTCAGCAGCCAAATCAATAACAGCTCACAAGGGAACCAGGCAGCAAAGT